GATGAACTTATTTATTAACAATTGGATGAGTCTTTTATTATCAGTTTGTTGATTATATATATAACTAAAGGTAAATTAAGAATCTGTTTTAATGCCGAAATTTGTTATATTACTAATATATTACCCTGCATATAATTAGATATTTAGAAGTAATATTTACTTTAAATTCAGCGGGAGGACACAATCCACGTGCACACATATTTTTTAGAAATTTTTTAATTATTATAATGAATATTGTATTATCCTTCTTGTTTTTTACTTTTCCAATGCTCTAGTGCTTTTAAAAAAATCAAAAATTTCAATTTGTGGTCCATTATTAAATGATCATCTAATGTGTCTACATTCATTTGTTTTCTCGTATTATTTTTAATTAACTTTGTTTGAGAAAATCTTCTTTTTACATGAGCATTAGAAATGGGTATAAGAAATCCTATTCTAGCAACTAATAACATATTTGAATTATTAAAAGGAAAATCCTCATCAGTATCTAAATTGTGTTTCCACAACTGAATGAAATTGATTTCTCTATTATTATTTTATAGTACTGGAAGAAAAGTTTGTTGAATTTATTCATGTTAAGTTCTCCTTTGTCAGTGATTCCATTAAATTTATTTCCATTTGCAAATTTAAATTTTAGTTGATTTCGTGCACACATATTTATGGTGTAACGTTACACTCTCCTGCTGAATTTTATACACCACAAATTTATGTCATCAATTTCCGCCCACATGATTTGTTTATTTAATTTTTTTTTTTGAAAAATACAAATAACAGATACAAAAGACAGTATGAACTATACATATGTCACCGATTAAATTTGGGAGAGCGTATTTTAATTGGTGATAACAATTATTTTTATTTTGTGTGGATCAGAATGAATAGGGATCAACGAATTGATTTTGTTATTAGAGAATAATTTTGTTTAAAGAAGATAATAGTTTAAATAAAATTTTTTATTTTATTTATTTAGTTTTCTTAGTCGAAACTAATTAACTTATTACCAAGTTACTTTTACATTAGGTCGAAATCAAGTTCTTTATATACATGTTCTTTATATATTAGACCGAATTGCGCGAATCCGCTCGGTTTGGGCGATAATAATACGCGAAACGTAACACGAATTCAGATGATAATAACTTTATTGATAAATAAATAGAATTAATAAAAATAAAAATAATAAAAATAATGAAATAAGAATAGATTAAATAATAATAAAAATAAAAAAATAAAAATAGTAATAGAAATAAAATTTAATTGTCCCGGAATTAAGAGATTCGACCAAAAGATCTGCGTCAAAATCCAATTCCGGTAACAGATATAATAAATGAATTTTAGGGCCTTCTCATTCACACTCATTTATGAATGATCATAAATCCAAATTTGGAGGGCGAGTGATCATCATTTGCAGGTGCTCATTTGCCGAGTCATCGTAATAAAATCTAGCCAATCAAAACTCAATTATTTTTTATTCAAAGATAAACACGCATTTACTAATGGTAATAATGTCAAACCCACAAGATAGAAATATGTATAATAACAATTATAATAATTACAATTACAACAATTATAATCAATATTCTCCAAACCAACTTTATCCTTCAAATAATGTCTCTGGTATTTCTAGTTCAATTGCGCCTTTAAATACTTTAGAAAATCGAATTGAGGTTGAAAATGGTACACTGAGCAACAGTCGTAAGATTTGGAAGCAGAACAAAACGAAATATTTACTTGATATTATATCTATTTATTATCCACAAATTAAAAATGCAAAAACAAAAAATTCAAAAGGACAAATATGGGATGAAATTGTGAAACAACATACAAAAGAATATTCTATGAGATCGAAGAAATCAATCCAGGCACTGCATCAATTTCATTGTTTATTAAATCAAAAATATTTGATTATTTAAATTTTAATCATTAACTAATCAAATTATAAAATCTAGACATATTGGAACAGGTTAATTTCTAGTTATAAAGATTTTAAGCATCACAATAATCAAAGTGGTAATGATAGAGTTGAATTTGACTACGAAGAAGAGATGGTTAATATTTTGGGTGATGACCCATCAGTTAAACCTCACTATACAATGGATTCGTTAACAATCTCTAGAAAAAGAAAAATTTATAGTATCGAAGATGAAGAGAACTTTTCTGAAGAATATGAACGCAATGCTTGTGAAGAAGATAATGATGACAATAGCAATGATGGTATTAAGGATAATAATGATATCAGTATTAACGAAGCATCTATTAATAATAATAACCAAAGTAATAAAAGAAAAAAAAGTCAAATAAAAAAGTTAAGTAACTTTGATAAAATCCTAGGAGTAATGGAAAAACAAGAACAAAATAAATTGGAAATAGTGAAGAAGAATGAAGAAAGACATAAGAAAAACAAACAAATTATGGAGAAGATGTTAAATGTATTAACCGGTTTTTTAGACTTAGCAAAACAAAATCAACAAAAATAGTCATTTAAACATTTAAATATATAATTAAAATACAATAAATACATGTATATTATGTAAATGCATATATAAAAATTAAAATAATATAAAAATTATATGATTAAAAAATAATACAATATATAATATGTACATATATATAAATCTTTTTAATTTTTCAGAACTAACTTTCCAATTTAAGATCTTAAATATTAAACAATTAATTGTTCATCCTATTCATTAATTGATTAATTATTTGTAACCTTCTATTGGTGCCTAGATTTTCATCAGTGTTTTCAATGATACCATTATCATTATCATTAATGTTACCAACATCAATCGCATAATGATTTATGGAATCTAAATTATCTATGCAAATATTATGCAATATGCAACATACATATACTATCCGAACCATTGTTTTTAAATTTCTGCAAAATATTCCTCTGCCACCTAAAATTCTCCATCTTTCTTTCAGCTTTCCGAATGCACGTTCAACTGTAACCCGTGTAGAAGATAAAACTTTATTATACCTTTTCTCTGCATGTGTACAATTAAAATGGTTTTTTATAGGTGTCATGAGCCAGGATTGTAACAGAAAGGCAGCATCCCCTATAATGTAAGTATTATTAGGAAAAAATCTAAAAACATATTAACTAAAGATTAGTATAATAGTGGAAAATAAAAAATAAAAACATACTGTCTTTTGTTTTTTAAGATTTCTTGATAAACTGGTGATCTCCTAAAAACTCTGGCGTCATTAACACTACCTGGTTCACCAATATAAACATTTATAAATTTTTCTTTATGGTCTACTACGACCATTAAAATAATAGAATAAAAATTTTTTCTGTTGATGTATTTTTCGGGATAATTAACATTTGGATGAATAGGAATATGTGAACCATCAACTGCGCCAATTACATCATTTAGACATGGTCCCGAAGAACAAAGTCTTGAAAATCCTTGACAAACTTCTTCTACTCGATTACCAGTTGGCCAGCTAATTAGGATTGAAAAAACATCAATCATTGATTTTAAAAATTTGTTTGTAAAATTAGATATTGAGCCTTGTGATATTCCCAATGTTTGTTCCATCACACAAAAAGATGCATTATTTGCTAAACGCCAAATAACCGTTGCTACCTGGATATCTATTGGAATGTTATTATCTGAATCTGAATATAATGGATGAGAATTCAATTGTTGTAAAAGGAAATTGAATGTAGAACGAGTAATTCTAAAGTGTGACTTAAAACTATTATTTCTGTAATTATCTGAAAGTAAAGGGAAAACATCATTCCAATATCCAAGTGTTTTTGGTCACATAAAAGGAGACATTCTATTATTATAGAGTAAATGTAATATTAATGAAAAATTTGGAACTTCGTTTAAATCATTAA